TGGTACCGACAAGTTGTGAAGTCCACTAAAGGTCGCCGCTGGGGGCTGTCGACGTTGTTTTACGTCCCTCGATACTTTCAACCCCTTAGTGCTGTGTCAATTATCATGATTGATCGTTGAGAGGTGATAGATTCGGTTATCGGCATAAGATATTAATGATCCCCTATTCTGACATTTTTGAATCAGTGGTTGGATCCTAACGTATATTATTACCTAACCCTAAGGTTAGTTTTACTGTATAATTTTACACGGTAACATTCTTATATCGAATATAAAACTTATTTTCTATTAATTTAACTACGGCCCTACGTTTCGAATGGTTTGCAGCAACCGTGGTCCCGGAGGGACTAAAGATGGAGTACCCCAAACATTAAGTTCAAATATGCTAGGCTAGGGCTATCTGGTTCATCGTAGTTGGTATTTAAAAAACTGACTGGAACCTTATAGAAATGGCTCACGATGTGCTGTAAAGCTTTAAAACGTGATACCGTAGTTTAATCCAAATTCTAAATAAGTTACTAACATATTTCGCGTAAATCGTAAAAAGTGTTTTAGCTAAGCGTGTACTACTCGCGCAATCTACCGACTTTCAAGAAATATAATTGCTGTCGAGTTAGAAAAGTTAGAAGTCTATGCGAAACTTTTACCCGTTGTTTTTACTAGTTTCTACCCATCCTTAATTAGACTGCGTGCAACGCCGCTTTACCTCATTAATCGTATCTAACAATAAAGCCAGCTAAGGTGGTGAACCGCAGCGTGACACACGACCCGTGGTCACGCGGCGGTCACGCTAATGAGAAACGGGACAAATACACAACTTGATCTAATCTAACACGTCGTTTCTCATATTTTGTTATGAGGACAATTTTTAAAGGGAAGCATTACCCTATATAATACTATGATACTTGACGGCACTACGTGAGCTGTAATGCGAGTGGAGGGGTAAATCATGCAGCTTTTATTCTTAACTTTATATATTAGTTTTTGCTATGTACAGTTGTAACAAAGAAATAGTAAGCTTTTATAGTAAATAAATATATAAAAATAAATAAAAAAATTTCGCGTTTTAAACCGTCAAAAGTCTTTTTTTTATGTGTACGCGTACGCTACAGGTAATTTGCTTAACGCTATTCCTCCTGTGTGCGGTTAAAAGTTGTATAAGACACCAACAAAACCCATCACCGCTTACTCAAACCGATGTATAAATCTGAATACCAAATTCTCGCAATAAGCGAGGCCCATAATAAATCATAATTGCACAAAAAGCCTCATGACTCAGAAGGCGTTACATCATTTGATAGACTCATTTGTATCAAGATGTGACTGTCAAATGCTCACCGAGAACCATTCATCTTTTTTTTCTGACATAAATAATTACAGAACGGATGTCTCGTACGTTGCTTGAGCGCTTTGAATATTTTTTGTTCGTTTCGTTTGTGCGTATGAAAAGTAAATACTTACATTGGCAAACGATTGTTCCAGAAGTCGTCAATCTAAAAGGGAGACATGTTATTTTCTACTATTGCTGCATTTAATCGCGTCTCAATTTAAAAAGGACCAAGTGTAACTTATCTTTTACGTATAACATTATTTTATTATTTTCTATTAGGGCCGGGTTATCAGTCTATATTATCTGCTAAAATTGGTCCTAGTCCCAAAAATAGTGTAAAGGCATCTGATGTCTTCTGATGTCTGGAAAATCTTACATCGTTAATTAACTTATTTAGCCTTGTAAAAGGTTAAAGGAACTAGAATTTTATAATTTTCACGGCGAGATCCATTTTTAGCATTGTGGAACATTTTTGACATACTCGTCTTTCACGTATGGCTAATGTATATGGGCTTCGATCCACACATATCCCCAATTTGTAAATTTACTGAAACATGTTAGTCTACGTCTGGATGTTCAGTGAGTCGTAGAAAATTAAAGATTCCTTCGGGGTCACGAACCACTATCCAAAAATAGAAAATCAGAAAAAAGTTTAATTGCATTTTAGTTTGTAGATTACCGAATATCTAAAGCCATAAATGGAATATATTTATGAAGCCAACCCCATGCTTGTCTTTGCTTCAAAAACATTATAATGTGTTACCAATGTATAATGCATTACGAACAAATGTCGAAAATATTGTCTCAAGCGAAGTGTGTCAAGATTTAAACAACTGTTTGTCCAGTCGTGATTGAGCTCGGTCAAGCGGCTCTCGAGGCGGCTGTTTGACAAATATTGCCGAACAAACATACATACATAATAAGCACTTCTGATTGACTATCGCGGGTGCTTATTAGTCGATTGGAAATCTATTACCTGTTTGTGTTGCCTTGATTTATATTTGAAATCTCTCGGTACACATGTCAATTGTGTTGACGAAGAATAAGAATGAAGGTAGTATCGAATCCAAAGTAAAAACAATTCGCCAAATTCAAAGGCAATAGCAGAAGTAGTAAAATGTATAGCCAAAGATTAAATTCCTCCATCAACAGTGTTTCCCAAGAGAGCAATAAAGTCTAAGAAAAGAAACTCATTGTATACTTGTTAATATATTGTGTAGTATGTTATTACTCTCGTCTTTTAAAGAGAAGAAATTTTATTATTAGTACAAAATTAAATTAAGACATAGCTATGTCTAGCACAGGTATGTCCAAAATATGTAATAATGTATCCTCGAGAATCGAACCTGAGATGTGTTCTTATTTTACCCATTGTATTTACTACATAACTTACATTTGAAACTGTAATATTTTTATATGGCTCATGATATCGTAAGTTTTTTTAAAATCTAAAATCGATTTTTGACCTAACAATTAACTAAAATTATAGACAAGCCTCGTGTAACGCTGTCAGCGCGGCTAACCCCCTTTTAATTGGCAAAAGTACCGGCCGGGTGCACCAGCCTGTTGTCGCATTACGGCAATGAGCGTGTTTATCTAACAAAGTTTCCTATTACCCAAAACAAGCAGACTAACAAGCGTTCGTGCTCGTCAGAGCGTCGTTATATCCAGAACTACCGTTTTACTATCAACAAACATTATGTCAGACATTAAGTGCACACCCTATTGGCGTGTCCGAACTCCATTTATGTGGATAAAAAGCGGATAAGGCCCGCGATGTACCGGGTGAAGCAGCGGTTATCATACTAGTTAGACGTGTGTTTGGACTTTGTACTCTTTTGCCATATCAATTCGAGTCAATTCGAGACAAACGGTAGGTATAAAAACTAATCTATACTAATATATAAGCTGAAGAAAACTCTTCACGTTTCAACGTTTATTTGTTTGAACGCGCCAATCTCAGGAACTGGATCGAATTGGAAAAATATTGTTTGTGTTGGTTAGAGTATTTATCGAGGAAAGCCTTTAGGCATAAAACATCTCGCTGCCACTAATAGGAGCAAAGAGAGACCGGGAAATGTGAAAAAAACAATGGGGAAATCTATACTAATATATTTAACCTGAATATTTTGCTTGTGTGTTTGAACGCGCTAATCTCAGGAACTATTGCTTCGAATTGAACAACTCTTTTTGTGTCGGTTGGTTGGTAGGCATTAATCGAAGAAGACGGCCTCCATAGGCTATGAAACTCGCTGCAACTAATAGGAGTAAAGAGACAATGGGAAATGTGGAAAACGTCGGAGAAAATTATTTATGTTTGTGAGTTTCCGTTGCGTGCGCGAGAAAACGTGTATGAATGATTCCTCTTTAAGTGATCAAAAAAAAGTCTACAACAGTATATGATATAGTACTTAGTAGTACAGTATATATATATGAGGAGGTTTGCAAAAACAAATTTTGAGGCCCAAAGTAACTATTCAACGCAGACGAAGTCGCTGACGTCGCTAGTTATAAGATATAACTTACGAAAAGGATATTTCGCTCACTACGTCCAGAGGTTTATGCTCATCCGTGACTGTTTTAGTATGAAGAAAGTTATGAGCTCGTCTCGTTCGACGTTTGATTGCTAATATACCGGCAATAACCCGCTATACACCTGACACTCCCGCTTTATTTCTTCTGGAACTCCCATTTTTATTGTTCCTCCTTACGCTTGCACCCAGCAGTCGTTCGGATAAAGTGGCCATGACCCCAATTCAAATAGTTTGTATTAGAAAACCGAACGGTATTAATTGTTTATTGATTATTCATTACAAAAGAATTATTAAAAAGCTTCATTTATCATGATTAACTTAAGTACCGTCTGTCTGTTTACGCGAGTAGGACACATTTAAATTAAACACTTTAACGGTTGTAAACGCGAAATATATTTGTTAAACTTGTTTGCAAATTATTTTCACTACGGCCCGACCTTTCGGACGCTTTGCAGCAGCCGTAGTCACAGAGAATCCGTAATATATGTCGCGTTTTAAACTGTTAAAGTGATTTATTTTAATGATGAAGTCATAATTTACCCGTTTTCTTTGAATTATTTCTTATAATCTGCGTTGTTTATAGCTAGAATGCTTAAATATACGTTTTTTTATAAAGGAACATGAGTTCTCTTGATGGAAGCTGAAGTGCCTACAATTCTTTCACCTGTGGACCGCGGTTTTCCCAGCCGGAATTCTATATAAGAATATAGGTTTTTTTTTATCTTAAAACCTAGTTCTCTGTCCACTGTACATAAGTAAGATGTATTCTATATCAGGGCATAGCCGAGACGTCGTTTCATTGTCGTATTAAGTGAATCCCAGTTCCGGTTCTATATTTGTCAAGTGCACTAAGCCTGACAAGGATTTAAACTTGAGTTGAGCTCAGAACTAGCGAGAAATGCTCTTAGGCTCTCATAAATTGACTCTTTATAAACCTTGTTACCTGCTTCTTTACTTCTTAGTCTGCTATAATGTTCCTGAAATCGTTTTATTGTGAATGCCTTTAACATAAAAACTATATAAGTAAATTCTGTAATTAATACAGTAGCGTTTCAAACAGTTAAAAGTGTTTTATTCATATGAAATATATTCTAACTGCCGGTATGTCGTATTTCTATCGATATGTTCGTGTCAATATGCGTTCAGATAAATTCCCCATTATGACTTTGATAGGTTAAAAAAAAATTAAAAATAACACGATAAAAGACATCCTCCAAAATGTGCTATTAATTTGTTTTTGTTTATCATGAAGTACCACAATTACTAAGAAAAATATGCATCGCGTATATTTTAAAATCTAAGTAAGGGTAACTTTGCAATAATATAGGAATTTATAAACGTAAATACCGCTTGAATACACTTCCAAAAAGGAAGTTCGTCTTAGCAATCCGTTTCTGAAATATCCGGGAATTTTACAAAAACGTTTAGAGCAAAAATGAAACTTTAAAATGTAAGATGTCTTGACCTTTTTGCTCCCGCGGATGCTTCAAAGGCATTGCTTTGGAACCTAAATTTTATATAAAGTGCCCTATTTTTAGCTTGAAGACCGACACTGCTGGTTTCTACATTTAGCGGGAAAGGGGAAAGAGGTCTTTCCTAATTTTAGTACCAGTAGTTAGATATGCAAATACTAAATGAAGAAATATTTCTTGTTCGCAGTGCCGACTTCGGACGTGCAGGGCGTGTTGGGTAAGAAGGCTTCCCTACCGTGCGACATCCAGCCGCTGCATTCAGACGACGCGGTGGTCATGGTCTTATGGTTCAAGGAGTCGGATGGGGAACCGTTATACAGGTGAGGGAATAATATTAAGTTATGAAAAATAATGTAAGGTTAACTTAATTATATACAAATCAAAAAATAATCAAAAAGCAGCAAAAGAAAAAACTGACGGTCTGTTTTTAGTTGTAAAGGTATTATTTTTGAATGGTTTTCTAGTATCAGCCCTCTGTTTGTTTTAGCTACGATATCCGTGGACGCTCCTACAACCAGCCGAAGCTTTGGTCCTCTCCCTTGGTGTTTGGGAACAGGGCGTATTTCAGGGGCGGTGCCACCCCTGCCGTCCTAATGATAGACAATGTGATGGCTATGGACGCTGGCGTCTATAGATGTAGAGTGGATTTCAAAAACTCGCCTACGAGAAACTTAAAAGTTAATTTCACTGTTATCAGTAAGTATTGTATTTGTAACCTTGACGATTCATAAGAATTATTTATAAGTAGTGATTATTTCTGCTTAATTAACATTATACTTATAAACTTACTTCATTATTTGAAACCTTAAATGTGTTTCACCCCTTGTAACAACAATTGCAGTGTAAATACTACGTTACAAGTGTAATAATAAAAATGATAAAGTATACACGATTTTTACTTGATTTTTCAGTACAACAACAATGATTATTGAATTTGTTTTTCAAAATTATCATTGCTACAAACTCTGCTCTTAATATTCATATCACAATAAAACTCAAAATAAAATTACAACTAGTTAGTTCAAAATCATTTCGATGATGACCATTTTCCAGTGTGGACATGTTAAATTTTAAGCCTTACTGTTGTTATATATACACTGTGCTAAATAAATACTTCGCTTTGCAGTACCCCCAAGTCGTCCGACAATCTACGACGCAAAGCGACGCGACAGAACAAAGCTCGTGGAGCCGTATAACGAAGGCTCTAATGTTTTGTTAATCTGCGAGGTAGAAGGAGGTGAGTTGAGAAAAGAAAATAAAATTAATTTTCCTTCATCCATTGTAGAAGGAATAGCACACGAGTGCCGGCTGTTGTTTGAATGTAACTACTTTTAATATCGTATACTTTTGGGAGACGGTTCAAACTTAAAAGTGTAGGCTTACATGATTTGTATCTAATAGGATAATTTCAATACGTAAAGGTTTTAAAATTATGGCAGTCCTAAAAATTTCTCGAAACTCGAAATATTTCCTGACATCGCATAATAACGAGCACAAAGGGGACAATTACGTATTATTGATTTTCAGGAAATTGCTTCTGACAATTATTTTTGTTTTGACGTATCGCTCAGCTTTAATATTTGAGCACACTTGATTGATTAAGCTTGTAAATACAACGTTTTAAATGTACCGACATTCAAAATGGAATTTTCAATTTCCAATTATTGAGGTGGGACTTTCGTCATTACAATACAATTATTATTGCTCGTTCCCGGCTTCAAATGTTATTCACTTTAAGTGATAAATCGATAATTACTGTTGCATTGTGTCAACGAGTACAGTTACAGATGTATTCTTGCAGCTGTTTTAGCTCTTATTTCGCGCCAATTACATCATTGAAATATTTTTATTATCTAAAAACGACAAACGTGTGTTCCTCATATTCAAGTGCTATGCGGACATTTGTAATTGAAAAAGTGTTAAAATACAATATGCTATATTTTTAAACAACAGATCTTAACATTTCATTAAAAATTTCGGTCCTATCAAAATTTGTAGTATTTTAATTTCTTGTCTTAATAGACCCAAATATAAATATCAGTTAACTCATCCTATCAAGTGTTATCTAATAGATTAAGATCTCTATCTTTGATCTACCAAAATTGATCGCTGTCTCTATCATTAAAGCCGTTAGCACGAGACCACCTTGGTTTAAAATGCCACGTCTCGCCCATGCGTCAAGTAATAGTCGGAAATGTATATTTTCTACTATTATTGGTAGGGTAGGAAGTGAGGAAATGGGTGAAATACTCAGTGGTTACTCTGAATTTTGGCCTTCTACTGATGTCCTCAGTACAAAATAATAATTATATAATTTGGCTGTGTAAAACAGAAACCAAGTTCAAGTTTTTGGTGAAAAATTAAATACGTAAGATTGCTTGATAAGAATGGTAGTTTAAAAAACTGTCAAACTCTAAAGAAATCAAATCCTACACGATTTTCTCCTGTGTCAATAAAAACATATTTAAGGCTTTTAAATTATAGTGAATGATAGTTGAAGTGATAATGACGGTTGAATATGGCATAGACCACGTCCACTTTTGGGCGTCATTAGTGGCGCGCTGTCTATTGTTGAAGCCACAAAAGATATTATGTTATTGTTTTATTTAATTACGTTGAAACGTGTGAATGGGCGGTTTAATTGCACGCTGCGTAGTGGCTTTATTGTTTCGTGGGCGAGTCCTGAGGCCGAGCACTGTTATAATAATATCTTTATTATTTGTTATGGTTCCCTATCAAAACAAAGGAAAGCGCTTGAAAAATCTTTGGAAACAATGATAATTTTATTCCACTAACAACCGTTTAAAAGTCACGTGACTTGCAACTCTTTCTTTATCTGAGAATCAAGAGTTACACCACTACGTAATCATTTTACACACCTCTGTATCAAGTGAAACGTTTAAAAGTCTCTCTTCTTAACCAATCCTCTTAAATATATTATTTGGATATTATATAATTAATGAGAAAAACATACATTTGTAGTTAGACCGGTTCGTAAATCGTTAAAGAAAATCTCAACCGCCAGGTCGACCACGACCACGTGTCACGTGGTATCTCGAGAACGTGGTCATAGACGACTCCTTCGAGCAACGAGTCGACGGTATCACGGTGAACACCCTGACCTTCCCTAGCGTCGGAAGACAGCACCTGAACGCGAGGCTGGTCTGCCAGGCATCCAATACCAACCTCGCGCCGCCAGAAACCAAAGTCTTGATATTAGATATAAACTGTACGTATTATTTTCTTGAGTTTTTCTAAGAAATAATTTTGAGAGGTTGTCTTATGCATGAGAATAAGGTTAATTTTAATGTCGGCTTCTTCCCACGTAGTCCTTGTGAAAAATTACTAATAACTAATAATTTAAATAAAACACTAAGCGGTTTAAAACGCCAAATGTATTAGTCACTTTTTTACAATATATTTGACTAATACATTATAATATAAGCTAACTACATATATCGCGTTTTAAACCGTTAAAAGAGTTTCATTTGAACGTTCACTACTCAAAAAAATTACAGATGATATACTTAACTGATAATCGAATGATGCTGGGATAACTTTTCTAATGATTTACATTACTTTTTTAAATGAATTAAGATAACCGAATAGATTCGAAATCCAACTACTATCCAATCCCTATTGTCAAATATCAAACTTTTACACCTAAATTTTACAACGTATAATTCTTTACTGACTTAGAAGCGTATTTTTTACAGTGAAACCGATAACAGTGAATATTCTAACCAAAGAGAAGCAAGTGTCGGCCGATAAGCGATACGAGATCGAATGCAAGACGACCGGTTCCCGACCTGACGCGACCGTCTCCTGGTGGAAGAACAATAGGCAACTCAAACGGATGGCGAAAAATGTAATCCATTGTCCTTTTAATTAATAGTTCCTTTTGTTGTGTCGAGGTTCTGTCTTTTCTAACTCGGTGAAACGTGCTCTTATCCAGAACGTGTTGACAGAAAAGCTAATGTTCATGTATTTGAGGAAAAATCTTTATTATTTTGAAAACATTAATATTTTTCACATGTTATTGCACATGAAGGCACTATATAATTTAAAAATCGAAAATAAATTGAAAAAGAGCAACAGCACGGAAAGCTGACGATGCGGTCAAGTCCTGCCCGAGAAAAATTTTTTCAATTTATTTTCGATTTTTAAATTAAATCTTTATTATGTTTTAGTTGTAAGACTCGGAGGATATATAATTAAGGAAATGTAAAACTCCATCCTGTACAGTGAAATACGGAAAGGAACGATCCAATTTGTACAAGAATTTGCAAAATTTTCACCATCCATGGTTATAAATCTCAAACAGTGTTTTTATTATGATCAATAATGTACAAATATTTCCTCTTTGAAGACTGCGCAACAAACACTTAACGCTTCTTTACCGAGTTCTACTTTTATCAAGTCTACAAAAGTTAATTAAGAACTAGCGATAATTCCCTATCAAAATGTTCGTACCTTCATCGAGTTATAAATTAATTAGTTCGGTGTTAAGGAACCGGCTTAGCATAATGGGAATTCCTTGAGGAGAAATAAGTTTTTTTTCTTTCTACCGTATCATTGTAATGGTATAATAGGCCTCGGTATAAAGAGTCACTCTTAAGAATAGCTTGGTATAGTTCTCTGGTTCTTTATTATTTATGACATATTTGTAAATGAATGAATCAGCATTAGAAGAATAAAGCTAGATTTTTGAAATTCTTCATCTTAACCCGAGCAATTCTTCCAGTTCTCGGAGAACAACGAGACACTGAGCGTTCTCAGCTTAGTGCCGAGCATGGAAGATGATGGGAAGTATTTGACTTGTCGCGCTGAGAACAAACACATTCCGGACTCGGCCATCGAGGACAAATGGAGGCTTAACGTGCACTGTGAGTATTTTGTTGGAAAAGTGCGCTTTACGAGGGAAGAACCTAAATGCGACTGGCAACACGAGACAATTGACAAACGCCACTTACAATGCAAGGAATTCTTCGACATTGCAATAAGTGCCCCTACAACTAAACCGAACATTTTCAATTATCATATTCTTATATGGACGCCGATATATAAAAATACTTTCGCGATAAAGAAAGTACGAAAGCATTTTAATTAAATCCCACTCTAGTCCTACGTAAATATTAATAAAAGCTTAATTAAAATTTGATAACAAAATAACTATGTTAATTATGTTCCAATAAACTTAAGGCGTTCTACTGACGAGTGGTTTATGTATTTGATTTTTCTCTTTTAATATCGATGTTGTTATATATATATATTTATATTTGTCGTCATCCTTTGAGCTTTTCCAGCTGTATTCTAGCAAAAAGCAATACTTTCATAAATTTTCAAATGTTTTGTGTCGTAGAAGACAAACACTTATGATAAACTTCTTTTATAAAAATCGAATTTGACAATTGTCCTTGAATATTCCAAATTGAACGCCTCCTTTACAAAAATGTCGTGTCTAAAAGCCTTACAGATTAATTACCTCCTAGATTAATTTCGGAACAATTAATTTTATTACAAAGGACTTAATTTAATTTGTTTTTTTAGATGTCCCCATTGTGGATCTGAAGATGGGCTCCAATCTGAACCCGAATGAGATAAAGGAAGGCGACGACGTGTACTTCGAGTGCACGGTTAAAGCGAACCCGAAGACTCACAGATTGGTTTGGTTTCATGATGTAAGTAACTTATGTATTTAAAATCCTTAATCCATCAGCTCAAATAAGTAATAACACTAGGCTTATTTCATACTTCTTAGTTACTTTTGTTGTGCATTCTGGTCTAGTTTGTTTGTTATATGAAATAAGCTGTTTACACACATATATACATAATATTGTGTTTAGGTGTCCACAATTAGAACTGTTTTATCTGAATTTGACTGTCTTATTTTATTAGTGCTGGAAAACAGATCAACATGGGATTTACTTAAATACCTCAAATATGTAATACGTCAACAAGATGCGCTATCGACTTATTTCTCGATATAAATCCACAGACTGAAACCGAAACGCGACAGAACTTGACGGCTTTTTATGTGTTGTATAACTGAACTAAATTCTATTATAGTGTATCATTTTTTTTACTGATAAAAGAGCACCAATATGTGAGGCTCACTTGATGGAAGAGTAAACACCTCTAATCTTAATAATCAATAATTACTATTAAACAAAGTTAAGTTTCAATTGCAAATAACACAATACACGGCCAACAGAACGCGGAAATTTTCCCAAACGAAGCGGCCGGAATAATCCTCAGCGCCCAAAGCCTCGTCCTGCAGAGCGTGACGCGGGGCGCGGCGGGGGATTACACGTGTATGGCGGCGAACAGCGAGGGCAAAGGAACGAGCAACCCCGTCTCTTTGCTGGTCAGATGTGAGTGTCTTTAATGTGTAATGTATACGTATATCTTGGTTTATTATTAACATTGACACTGGTTTCAACCTTGTATTACGTTAAGTAGTTTGTCGAATAATAAAAAATACTATAGTTTGAGAACGTATTACTAAAATGTATGAAAGTCTAGATTTTTACAATTTTTATTCAGACTTGTGCATAATATCTGAAATAAGATAAGTTTATAGACGTAGTTTGTGAATTATTATTTAGGCGAAAAGCTGCGACATTTTTCGCATCTGGAAAGCCGCATCTAATCTCTCGACTGAGCGAGAACTTTTTAATCTGCTGAAATGTGGTGGGGCCACAGAATACAGAACGAACCAGACAGCCGCACTTCTAAGCGAGTCTAAAATGGCAACTTTGAATTGGTGTAGTTAGATAACTTACCACTACATAATATAAAACAAAGTCGCTTTTTCTGTCCCTATGTGCGATCTTGTAAATCTTTCAAACTATGCTACGGATTCTGATGCGGATTTTTTTATTAGATACAGTGATTCAAGAGGAAGATTTTTATATACAACGTTCACAGTTTTTCTGTAGTGTATTTAGTATTAGCCTGTCGCCCGAGCGAAGCCGGCTAGTTGCTAGTTTTAATAATATAAAAAAAATGTAATATTTTATTTTGTATATTCATTTATTAATACTTCTTTAAACTACTTGTCGGGAATGTTTGACGTATTTAAAAGAAAAAATGTTTGTGAGCTGTATACATTTTATTTATACAGGTAACATTTATTTATATATTTTATTTATACAGCTCGCGATTACTACAGGTTTTACATCAAAGTAATGCATCACATCACACTTTTCGAGTACGTAAAGAGCGGACCTTCTGGTTCGTTCGGTATCCTGTGGGGGAAACGAATGTGGGCCAGAACGCTGGGCCGGCAGAATAGCAAAACACCTGACGTAATCCAATTACATCGGATCGGGTTAGACAATGAAAACAAACATTCAATTGTGAATCGTATGAGCCAATCTCGGCCTTACTCTCGACTTTTTTCGCTATCGATTGAGCGCACGAGCCGTTTAAGTGTTTTCAATTAAATAAAGCACGCACAGTAGCACTCTTCTATCGGGAGAATCTTCAATTGCAAAGGATAACAATCATTTACATCAAATATTATTGTTGTATACTATATTCTTCTTGAAACAAATGTTTTAAAAGACATTCGTCTTTTTTCCGTATACAAATAAAAAGGAACACGATTACTATGAATTTGCCGTCCGCCTGTCCGTCTGCTTGTAACTTAAAAACCGCGATAGTGAAAGTTGAAATGTTCACAAATAGTGTACGTGTTATGTTTTAGAAATGAGAACATATATTTCAGGGAGGCTTTCATATAACAAAGGCAGTTTTTTTTTTACGTTTTGCTCCATATTTATAATGGCAACGTGGAGAAGGTATTTGAAATAATGACTTAAATTTCTACTTCAATGGTGTACAACAATTTGAAGGCTCCCACACAAAAAGAAAAAAAATCGGGTTTTCGAAATCTATAATCTAGAAATCTATAATGTTAATTTGAAATAACTAAATAATGTGACACTATGAAATTTCTGTACATTATGTTGGGATCAATTGTTTAAAAAGCTACATTTTAAATAACGCAAAATATAACACAAAATTTGCATAATATTATACACAATTTAAAATGATTTATAAGTTTTGACTTTAACATCGGCATAAAGTTTTCACAAATGAAATAACAAAACACCCGTGCCCCGGCAGATGCGCCCGTCTGCGCCGAGCGACGGGACAGTGAGCTGTTCGGTGCACTCAAGCACGAAACTGTGATGCTGCACTGCTCCGTCGACGCCAACCCGGCCGTGCTCTCCTTCCACTGGACTTTCAACAACTCTGGGGAACAGGCGGAAATACCGCCGAGGTACTCATTCCGATTCCATCTATACTAATATATAAAGCTGAGGAGTTTGTTTGTTTGTTTAAAGGCGCTAATCTTCGGAATTACCGGTTCGAATAGAAAAGAGAAATTCTTAGTTGGAGTATTCATTGCGAAAGGCTACGCTATAAAATATCGCGATTCGCCTAATAGAAACGAAGAAACAGCGGGAAATGTGAAAAAAAAAAACTAAATTATACATTTTTGTGGGATTCCTTTGCGTACGCTGAGTAAACGGTTTAAGATATTCAAAAAAAATATGAAGGAATAATTCCTCTTTAAATGATTTAAAATAATGTTCGTGACAGTATAGGTCTATCTTTTAACAGCTTATTTTTATAAAGATGAAGAGGTTTGCAAGAACAAATTTTGATGCTTGAAATAACTATTCAACGTGGACGAACTAGTTGACACAGCTAGTAAACAAAATACCTTTTGAGACGTGTTTGTTAGTTGTAAAAGGAGAATACGAATATGCTGAATTTTGAAATTGAATAGTCTGTATATATGTATAACCTTATTTAAAGAAGGTAAATAAAGAGAATAAATGCGTGAATTGTTAAAAATGTTGTGTGAAACGAACTGGCAATTCAAGGTAAGAGAACCGAGCTGTGCAAAAATCTATAATGAGAATAACAGTGAAACAAAACACTTTATACGTGGTTGCTCAAAAATAAATAGGTCAGTGCCTTTAGACTATTGAGCACATCAACTTGCCAGTAGCTACAGTTGACAAGTTTTGTACCATACGAAAAATAACTGTTCGAGAGTTAGATACGTAAAATAAATGTATAGTTGAAAAATCGAACCGTGAAACAAAATTAGTCGTAACAAGCTCATTTTAAAGTTGTACGTTGTAAGGATCAAATTAAAATTAAATATTTAACACTTAAACGGTTTATAACGCGGCTTTATAGGCTCGATGATTCGGATGCAAAGTATTTTCCTTAAATATGTACTGCTTACGTAAACAACGGACAATACTAAGAATAAAATATGTCTCAAATGAAGTGAAGTTCTTTTACAATATCTTATGGGTCAATATTACGCTAACGTTAAACTTAAAGGTTCTACAAGAACAACGGGCACACCTCGACGCTGAACTATACGCCGAGTACAGATATGGAGTACGGAACGCTCGCGTGCTACGGCGAGAACAATGTTGGCCAGCAGAAAGTGCCTTGCGTGTTCCAGCTGGTTGCAGCCGGTGCGTAACAGCTCTTTTTCAAAGAAAATAAGTATAACTTTTCTTCGAAATATAAATAATTTGCTTTTTGGCAAATCAGGTCGTCCTTTCCAACTGCAAAACTGCACAGTAGCAAATCAAAGCTTGGACTCGTTATACGTGGAGTGCGTTGAGAACTTTGATGGTGGCCTGCCACAAACATTCCTAATGGAACTGCTAGAACTTCCTTCACTAACGGTGAGTTGATATCTCTTACTTCATTCTATCTTCAAATCTTCTTTCAATCTTTAAACCTTTGACTAAGCTGATAAAACGGAACACGCGAAATTTTTCTAATTTTTTCATAATTTGAAAATACAGTCGTTTGTATTGAACAGATATCGTTACTATTTTCTATACAGGTACGGTACAACGTCTCGACGAACAGAACCCCACCGTACTTTGAGATTCGTGGTCTTCCACCAGGTGTAAGCTACAGAATAGACTTGTATGCGGTCAACGCGAAAGGCCGAAGCGATGTTTCTACTATAGAACACGTCACTCTAAAGGGGCACGCCAAGTTTACAGGTAAATTTAAAAAGAGATTCGCTTAGGTTCAGGTAATTCTGGATAAGCTGGACAATTAATAGTGATAAAGAAATAATTGGTAATTAAATCTCCTATGCATCAGTAAAAACTTTATAACGTCTTATTTATACAACAACTTACTTGTTACTTAAAACTTCCAATCTAGACTTGATTTTCCGCGTCGATTGCCACAAATAAACATCTTCGAGCAATTTTATCCAATAAAACTATAATTACATTACAACCTCCTTATTCACACTGGCGCCGCACGGGAATGTCGACTCTATCGTATTGGAATTCGGTGTACTTTGGTCGAGAGAGTTTTTTCTAATTCAGGGACCATTTATTTACTACCCAATAATAATAAAGCCGTGAATTTGCTTGTAATCTGGGCACTGGAGTCACGCCACTGCGGAATAAGCAATGACTTCATTTCAAAGGTTTTTTTATTCTTTCTGAACGGTGATAAAGATAATGAAGGTGTGTCGGTTTTTACAACTGTGAGTAGCAACAGAACAGTTTTATACCGTTGTGATTAGCCGCGAAAATATATCGCTCTCCAAAATGGTAAAAGAAATAGTATTCCTAATGTTTTCCTAGAGTTTCTTACAAGTCACATAACATAAGGAAGGAAGTCTCTTTAGATAAATATGACTTTTATTTTTTGCCATCTGCAGAATACATCTGAAGCTCCCTCACTAATTACTCTCATTAAGCTCGCCTTTTAATTCGCTACTTCTCATATCTACGTTTTCTCGAGTTCATATATTCACTCGGTGACCCGCTTGTGCTTTTCTATGTAATTTCAAAAAACTATTTTAAGTCGCATTACGTCTCAATTACTAGTGCAATTTGAAATAGTTAAAAAAGTTTCACTTCGGATCGCGTGCCTACACGAATGTTAATCGCAAATGAGGAGTTTCGCTGTCGACTACAGCGCTCGCCTTATTTATGGCTCCAATTCTAAGCTCACTGCACAATGTGAGTTCTAATAAAGTTATATGAGTGACTTCGCATTTCATAGAGACAACTTTGAATCATACGGTCTTATCATTAAACTTGGTTACGTAGGATAAACGGGGTGTTAAATATTGTAACGTTCTTAACAGCGTCACTCAAGTCTTATTTTTTGTAACAGGAGAAAGCCACTCCTTGGGAGTGTCTCCTGTATTAGCATCAATAGCAGCAATGTCTGCGCTGCTAGCGACAGCAGTTTGTGGCATATTGGCAGTGCTATACCGACGGCACGCTAGGCACAGACATTTGCCAGCGAAACACGCACCATTAAGGTAAAAGATACTTGGTCATAGTCCAAAATATTCATAAAAGGTTATATGCAATGAACTGTTTTCGTAGCGAGGCAATGTACACCGAACGAGCCGGTCAGTGCCCGACACCGGTGAAGCAGGAGGCGTGCGGAGAAGTGTGCAGTGTGGGGTCGGGTGGTGGAGGAGCAGCGGGCGCCCTGCTCAGGGAAGACCCGACTGATGACGCTGATCCTGACATTATACCAAATTTGTTTGGTAAGTTTGCTAAATGGAATATTTGACGAACACTAATAAATACTATATCCAATATTGATTAAATTTATATTTTTCTTTATTAAAAACTAATAGTGTACAAAGTGTTGTTTTAAAACCATTGGGTTTAAATGTAAATTATATTGGCGACTTATTATTTATTAACTAAATTGACCTAGAACGTCGTCCAGTATCCAATGGGTACATGAGCCTGCAACGTCCGATGTCAAACAGCAAGCTGAGCAAGAGCGAAGAAGCCAGATCTGAACCGGATGGAGGAGGTGGATATTATGACTTCCGGAAGAAAGACTATAGGATACCTTTAACTAGTGTGAGTAATCGAGAAATATTGATTCCTAAAAGTGCCTACTCTATGGTAGCTATATGACACGAATATTAAAAATATAATTTTATTAACCATAGTCTTATTACTATAATATCTTGGCTACACCATAGTACAACGATAGACAGTAAATGTTCTTTTTCCTGCACGACACATGCAGACTTAATTGTTCAATGATTTCTAGTTTCAAAATCTTAGTAACCAACATTTTGTCCGCAGTCGTACCATAGCTTAGGGCGGGCGAATAAGGGCGTGACCACGAGTCCTAGCTCTGGCGGTGGTGTGACGTCATCGCTGACCGCGCACCGCCTTCGACCAGAAGTGGTGACCACGTCCCACCGGGTGCAGGAGAGTTGTATATAGATGCGTTCGAGAGCATTGTTGTGAAGTTAGTTTCAAGCTATTGATGTGAGACCGCGGGCAGATGATCTTTTCACTAATTCCTATGGTTTTGTTATGTTATGTAATAAATTTTTAGATATACTGTTGTTCAACTTAAGCACTTATTAGGTCTGAAAAAGTGAAACTGTATAAGTTTCATAATGTTTCAAATAATCTTATGTCTCCGTAAGCACAAGCTCTTCGGAGAAAAACTCAAGTCACAACAATGCTCGCATTCCCTCCGACTTGTAAATATAACTAAGATGACTGTGTTCCTTTTATATTAGTGTATATTTCTACTTGTCGAATAGTGTTACTATATATTAGACCCGTTTTTACTGCCGAGAAAGTAATAAAGATTTATTTACTGTTAAAAAACACTTAACGCACTATGTGATTTCTCTTGAGTTGCTCTGAACATAAAATTTACTCTTAATAATATTGACATAATTAAGATAAAGGCGCAAATGTCGCTAAAATAATTTTTGTCTAAGAGAAATTCATTCTTTAGTCCTTTTTCGGCAACACTACTTTTTCTAGTTAATAATACATGGTGTTACTCTTTTAAGCGATTCCTAAACTAGGTTTGTCCGCGTCTTTGGCAATAATGTAAAAACGGCCTATAATTTTTTTTTTAATTACATTTTTATATTTTCGTAACAGCAGGTATTACTTAGAGCAAAAGTACAGACGAAAAGATTCTCTAAGTTAATAGATGTAATGCTCGTTTCTCTATATTTAAAATGTTATTATCTTTCTCGAGGTTTAAGTTAGGTCGGACACAGAACGGAGTAATGCCATGTCTATCGTATTACGGCTACTTGGGGATTGGCCACCGCACTAAATGCAATTTCTCATTTGTCCGTCGTATATTCATTAACAAACGAATCTTACAAATTGAGTTATATTCGACAAGTTTAGATCAAGGGTTAAGCTTATGAAGAATTATTTTTATTAAGTATTTAGATGTTACTTTTGATGGAGACCCACAAGTACTTGGGGTCATATACGCCAGCTCTATCACCTCAACAATGTGTGCTGTTGGCCCATTTTGGCTTTGGATATTCAGATATTCACCATCTAGAACGAAACGCGATTAAACTTTACAGCTTTTCAAATGCAGTGGTTCCTGGCCCGGGAGGAAGTTCGATCGGACCCCGTGGGGACGTATTAGCCATACGTCGCTACCATTAGACCTGGCCTCTTCAAACTGCATAATTCGCAATTGGCCTTAAACAATTTAAAACACAGAACCTTTACAATATTATCATTACTCACACGTAGAGTCCATCATTATAAAGCCTTCCCACGCTTTGATCGTGTGTCATTGTAATTATGTGTAATCTCATAAATTAATACTACACTTATGGTGTAAGGTCAGAAATCAATTTCAAAATTAAATCGAATGAGACGGCAATTCCGAAAACACATGTTTATGAGACTTTAGGATTTTCGCTTCTACAGATGTTGTATCTCTCAATATTGTAAAACTATGTAAACCGTATACGAGTTGAAATAAAGACATCAATTTCTTTCTTGGAATCTTCTCTCTGTAAATAATGTTTTCCCTATCTACATTAAAAATAAAAGAACTATTTGGGCAGGACCTGAACCAGCATCTACAGCGTTCCGTCCTGTTGCTCTAACCAATTCAGCCACGAAACCCTACGCGTCATCGTCAAATTTTTTGTAACCTACGTTGTCCCTATTTACATTCTAATCTTTGTTTTGCGTAAAAATATATTTATTTAAATTCAGGAAACAATATACAAGTTTACCGTAAGTTTTCTACCTTACAACAATTATGTTTTTGCATAACCGTTAGATTGTCTAAAACGTGGTCTTCTAAAAATTGGACCAATTTCATGGCACTTCACAGGAATGGCGTATTAATGTAATTTCTATGATTGGAAAAAATATTTCTCAAGATCAGAAAGCCTCTTCGCAGAATCTTGAGATTGATTGGGTTTTACTTTTATATACGGAGTGATTTTTTTAACTTCGAACAACAATATTACTTCAATGAACTATTTATTCTAGCAGAGAAATTAAGAATAATATTTTCTTAGCTTCAATACTATTAAAAAGTGTTCGCTTAAAACTTTGAGCTTTGCAAAGAAACTTTTTAAATCAACAGCAACTTTTTAAATAAAATTGATTAATTCAAGAAATGTGTTTGTCAATTATTGTAATTTTTCTAAAACAACTATTCTACTAATTAAGTATTAATCCATTCGTCCAAAAACTTATTAAATAATGGCATCCGAAACATATTTTTAAACGAACCGACGTTTAAAAATAAGTTAAACTTGCTTCGTGTTTAAAACCGTTAAAAGTATTGTATTTAAACATCTAACTCTCTAAAATTATCAAGTTGCTGTGATCATTTGTCAAACTACACTCTATGGTTAACTTTAGTCTGTTTATTTGGTTGTTTGACGTCCAATTATCGTCCTCGATCTCAACTGGATCTGTCATTTCTCGGATTTCGTGGATCCCACGGGATTTTTATTGTTCAAATGAATGCATTTCAAGAACGCAGTGTGACATTCTATTGTACATCTCATTTGTTTTAATAATGCCTTGCGAACCGGTTTCCCGAACGACAGGACTGAATAACGTAAAGTTATTAGTATTATTTAATGATAGAGCTGGGCAGACAACGATAGCATTCACTTGACGGTAGGTGCAATACCGCAGCTATGTAATCAACTGTTCTTGTTTGTAGCCTAGGTCTAATATCATTGTTACTTATAGTAGCTTACAACATCCACTAAAAGTCTGTTCCAAATTATTTCGTGTTTAGTGGTTAGTGTTAGTGTTTATATGACGTGACAGTATCATTGTTGACAATGCCGACATGAAATAATTTCATAAACAAGTAGCCGTAATGTTCTTGTAAACGTAAGTAGATTTGAATCATTGTAAATTAATAAGACGTTCTTCTGTAAATAGTCGCTCAAAATGTACTATCAGGACAATATCAATGTGAATTCATATTATTTAAATTTGTATGTTTTAACTAATGTTGCATCTCGTAAAGATAACGAGGATTAAGTATTATATAATATGTAGTACGTTGATCTATTTAGAATCGAAAATTTGTTATCAAATGTGCTTCATATTTAAAAAATCTAAATAATGTTGCATTCTTTGTTTTCATACAAATGTTATATTATTAAAATCCCACTTTCATCTTTACTTCAAGCGCCATTTTGTCATATTTGTAGTTCTCTTTTAAAAGCGTTTAATAGGTGAGGATCGGCCGTTAGATAAATTATTGTGTAAATACTGTAAAAATGTAAATAGCTAAACAAGTCTAGTCTTAAATTAGTACTAACGGTGCTAAGTATTGTAAAAATAAAGGTAGGCTAATCGTCAATTGTCAGCTCATACAAAGTATGGTCTATTGTTGAATGGAAATCCGTTTCTTGTAAAATGTTTTCAAGTAAAATGTCGAGCATTTATCATTATGTGTCTTTTATTTTCCAAACTCTCGTCTCTGGTATACAGCACAAAGATATATTTCAACTGAGAAACGAATGAGTAAGAAGAAAAGATTAATCAGAATTACACTGAATTAATTAAAAAACTAATAATTAATTTGTTACGCTTTATTTTCATGGTATTGCCTGATAGTCTACAGCGTAATAAGATGCCTTTCCAAAATTTGTTATTAAGACCCTTTCACTAAAGCATATGAACTAGCCATGTCAGCCTTCTTCCGCGTAAAATACTTATTTTGGGCACCCCAATTTCATTTTGCAAACCTCTACTATCTTTATAAATTTAAGCTACCCACGATACCCGACCGCGCCCGTCGCTCGCGACCCGTCATTCTTGCAAGTTAATCTTAAAAGATAGGCATACAGTGTCGTGGATATTTTTTTAGATCATTTAAAGAGGAATCATTCTTACATACATAATATTTGGGTGTCTAGAACCGTTTTGCAGTAATACGGGTTTTAGGAAAAGCCGTATTACAGTACACTTTAAAACTACACGTGTAAAAGTGACAAAAAAAAAGGTATTTATTTCACTTTTACATGGATATTGAAAGAGCCCTTTGGCAGTAGTTTATAAGATTAGCGCGTTGAAACAAACAAACTATTCAGCTTTATATATTAGTATAGAGCAACTATTGTGAAGATATTAAAATCAATAACTACCCGAGTTTAATCTTTCCACGTCGTTTAACCTTAATATTCCACGTTTTACAGAAGTCATAGATTACGCAAATTAATTAATTCAATTAAAATTAATGACGAGCTTTCAAAGACATCACTATTGCGACACCCGCATACTTAAACCTCAAATAACGAAATAATTATGCTAAATACGCAAGCTGCGTAAGAAATTAATTGAGCTATAGAAGACAGCATTTATGTCAAGTTTATTAATTTCCCCAATTCCATCTTGAAAAGTTATAAATTATGATTTTAATCGTAGGACAAACTACGACAAGACAAAAGTTCGGACAGTGTCGATGTTTACCCACTGGGATATATTGACAGTACAACAACTAGGGATATACTGACGTAGCTTTAAATTAAATTAAGCCTGTACCATACAGAAAGATTAATCTCACTAGACGTTAATTAAACGTTATTATTATTTTTTAATATTTTACTTCGTCATAACTTTTTTTATAATTCGTATATACTATTGTACAGTCAGTAGACACGGTCAAGTCAAAAATATTTATAAACACCATAAAGCGTATAATGAGACAACTCGACATTAGATCGCCCCGTAGTTGTAAAACATAAGTACGTGAGAAAAATCGTAATACATATAAATTTCCTTTGATTTATTTAAGACCTCTAGTGACGTCATAACGCGGGTAATAATTTCGAAACTTTCCGATTGTTACTTGATAGTTATTCAATTGTGAAGTTTTAGTATGAGATCTTTTTTTGTTCACTGATTAGCCCAAAACAATGTTTCAGTAGGATTGGAACCTTACTTTAGTTAAACGCAAT